ACGGGAAGTGGTAAAACTTTTTTCATGAAACGTTTGATTGAAAATAGAGATGAGATGTTTAATATCTCTTTTGAAAAAATCATTTTCTATTACTCTGAGTGGCAGCCGCTTTATGACGAGCTCAAAGACAGAGTCGATTTTCGACAAGAGCCCCCCATGTTGGACGACCATCCTTCAGGGCAAGGCCCAAAGCTGATAGTGATAGATGATTTTATGGATGAGATTAAGTCCCACCATAAAGAAATCCTTAAGTTTTTTATTAAGGGTAGTCATTACAGAAACCTTAGCATTTATTTTCTAAGTCAATGTTTGTTTCCGGACGGGCTCCGGCAAATAAGTTTTAACACGCACTACATAGTGTTGTTCAAAACAAGCCGAGACTTGGCTCAGATACGTACGTTTTGTATGCAAGTTGAACCCACGCATTTTCGCGGTCTGCTTGAGGCTTGCCATGACGCCACGAAGGCAGGGTTCACCTACCTCCTATTTGATTTCAAGCCCGATCAGAAGGACCATTTGCGCATGCGGACTCTCATTTTTCCCGGCGAGTCCACGGTCGTTTACATTCCCAAGGGAAAGTATAAAAGAGAGATTCTCGACGTTATCTGAATCATTCGTTGACCATGGCTCCTGCTGTTAAGACGCACAAAGCTGTGCTTCAGGTCCTCCAGTCGGCTAAACCTAATCTCCGCAAAGCTATTATTAAAAATTCTGATAAATCGATCATTTACGCTATCTGTGAAATCTGCGATAATTTGCTCAGTGGTAACATCCCTCTAACTTCAAGTCAGAAAGCGCAGCTCAAAAAGTATCGTAATAAAATAAGAGAGCTTGCACAAAAAGGTAAAGGGCTTAAGGCTAAGAAAGAATCCCTCCAGAGAGGAGGCTCTTTTCTCCCTCTGCTCCTCTCCACTGTAGCATCAGTGCTTCCTAGTCTGTTTAAATGAATCACGTCAGGAAAATGATTCTTGTGCCGCACGAAAGTGTGGCCAAGCTTAATGACCCCACGCCATCTGCGGTACAAACTCAGTCGAGTTCGCTCGATAGTGAGATGGAAATGATTATGCGTAAAAAATATGCAGATGATTCTGAAAAATGGAAACATTACAGTCAGGCTCTCGACCGTTATCTCTTTTTCGTAAACGAAAAGAAAAAACCCCTGCAGATTTCTGTAGAGGATTTTTCCAATGATAATGACAGAGACAGCCCAGTGCGACAACAACTCGCAGCCGCCCTCCCAAAAACATATAAAGCGTGTGCTCTAAGAATTTTCGATTATTTAACTCAAGCTGACTCGCGAGTCACATGGGATTCTACGGGCACTGTGTCCATAAACAATCAGTCCGTCC